ATGAGTGTGGCCGTTACTGCTGCATGGGCAGGGGGAGCAGCTGTTGGCGGTGTGTGCATGCTTCCTCACACTCCCATGGGTAGAGGCAGAGGGGAGTGCAAAGGCCTGGCCAGGCTGCCATCTTACCTGGGTGGGAGAGGGAGGAGGGAGAGTGGTGCTGTCTCCTGCCATTGACTCAGCCCCAGCGCCACTGGTGGGTTAAATCATCTACCATGGCTGCTGGAGATGGAGCTGGCTGCTGTGCAGCTGCAAGCCGCTGTGAACAGCCAGCTTCAGCCGCCATGGCCCGGCAGCCAATGCTTTGTGGCCCAGCCCCAGTCTGCAGTCCGGTGGTTGGGAACCACTGCTCTGACTAGTAGCTGAACAATGTCCCTGTCAGCCCTTATTCAGTCCACATACTCTCCTTCATCTCTGCCCACTCTGTATGTGTGTGACTCTCGCCCTCTCTGGTTGTTGTTTAAAAAAACCCAACAAATTATCTCCTGGCCATTTCAAAGATTCCTTACTACTTTTGGGGAGGGCTGATGTACAGAAGACCCACGTGGTCTCCCTGCCCCTGCAAGTGTCAGCTGGCAGCTCTGGTTCCCAGCCACTATGATCATTCATTATGATTTATGGTGATAATATGGCTGTAAGGAGATCCACGCTATAAGGAGTGGGGAGCTGTACTTTCTAGAGACATCGAAGAGTGTGTCAACCTTGTTCTTATTTGTGTTTCACTTTAGTTTCTGCTGTGAGAAGGGCAACAGACTACTGAGCATAGTGAAAAGGCTCCTTGGTTTCATACTGGGAATGCAGAAGCAATGCTTTCTGCTCCTTGCTTCTGATGTTTAAATTCTGGTCCCAAGAAAACTGGATCTGTTGTTAAGGTGAAGCATTTCCTGTGTGTGGGTAACAAATATAAAATAAATTGGCAACTAATTTAATTTATTATTTATTATTTGTATAGTGTCATAGTGGTGATAATTTGTTGACTTAGGGCTTTATATCTAAACTGCTTTGATGTAATTGAATATTTGAAACTTCTTGGGGAGGAATGCAGGTGAGAGTGACTAAACTCGATAGTCTGTCTTTGTTAGACTGGAATACACACATGCTGATACGTGATTTCTTTTCTTTAGAAACTGAGGGAGAGTTTAACCATTTGTGACAAAGACCACGTGTTCAAGAACTAAGAACCGCAGTTAATAGGAGACTTACATGAGGTATGTAAATACATTAATGTGTCTTGTTAATTTTCAAATATAACCTGTTTGCAAAGAATATATGCTCTTAATGTGTGAATAAGGGATGTGGAGCTGATACCAGAACTTTCCTGAAGGAAAACCAAGCAAATCATTAATTAATCATTTTGAAGAGGTAGAACATTGGAGTGTCCTGCATTTCCAGTTTTGATAGCATGAATATCTCACTGCTTGAATGGGACAACTTGAGTTTTTAAAATAATCTCTACATGGAAGTTACAATTGTTCTTTTGTTAGAGGGAATAGCAGTTAACTCCCAACACTATTCCTACAGCTCTCTACTTGTTGAGGCTGTCACACCAATAAGGATTGGTGGGTTGGCACTTTCCCAGGAAAAACTAGTTAAGGACAAGACACTTGTAAGTACCAGATTAAATCTAGTTTAAACTGGGAAAAATAACTGCATCAGTGTCCAGCAAGTTCAGTAGGCATATAGCAAATTCTTTACAATATGATTAAGTCTATTCAAAACTGAATATGCTTGGCCTATCTGCTGCATCAGAGTTGGTATTCTGCTGCAGAATGCTGCATGGCCAAATGAACCTGGACTGGTATCTGCAACTCTGTATGCTTTTGATTCCTTAATGCTGCAAGCACACAACTCAGCATTGTTGTTTTTCATATAGTTGAATGTGAAGTATATGAAATATAGAAATAGGAATCATGACATATATAATTTCCTTGAGAAAATACCAAACCAAAATGTATGCAGACATTCCCATGTTCAATATTATACTTGCATATATTACATAATCTCTCTATATAAAAACATTTTTCCTGTGGGATGACTTGAGTGGTGTCATCACGTCACTCTGCGTCCTGCCTGCCTCCTCCCTCCCCGGCGCTCAGGGTGGGGAGCTGGGGTTGTCGCACCATGGCACCCCCCCTTTCCCGGGGGCCAGAGAGAGAGAGAGAGAGAGAGAGAGCCAGGGCTGGGAAGGCCTCAGCCTGGCCCTCCGACTGGGGGGCCAGTGGGAGAGAGAGAGAGTGCTGGTGAGGCTTCACCGTGCCCAATGGCTGGAAGGGAGAAAACGGGCTAACCTGACTGGGGCTGGCACAACCGGGAGTTAAAAAGGGGATAGAGATGGGGCTGGAGATGGGGCTGGCTCAGCCTCAGCCCTGCCTGGCAGCTGAAGTGGGGAAAGCCGGGGCTGGGGCAGCCTTGGCTGGGGCTGGAGAGTGCAGGCCAGGGCTGCCATGCCTTGGCCAGATCCTCCCCGGTGGCCACCAGGGGAGGGAGGAGAGCTGGGGCTGCTTACTTCCAGAGAGAAGGTGATTGGCAAGCGTAGCGAGTAGGGGGAGCAGCCCTAGTATTTAGTGTTACTCCCACAGTGGTTTTATTCTGTTTGTACAACCTTAAATTAATCTAAGTATCTACTGCCTTATGTAACTACAATTTGAATATATAACTAAGTGAACCATAATGTGATGTGCATTAATGAAACCGTTTTTAAATAGAAAAGGTCTTAAACTGGTGCTAACTAGATTTTCCTGGGTATGGGAGAAGACCATGCTTTATTTGGTAAAAGCCACCTCTGGTAAACATGCTATCCTTTCTTGGCAGCCAGGTCTCCTCTCAAAATGTACCTCTTCTGCATTGCCATTCAATGAACCTGTTATTCCTCTTACTTTCTTGAATCTGAACTAAGTAAACTAAGACTTTAATATTTTAATTAAGAGATGCTTCCTATTTTCTGGGTCAAAGTTAGGTGCCCTGAAAATATCTGAAATAAGAGATAGATACAGATGTACACATGTGCATAGTTCTTGTGGGGAAAAAAATCTGATTTTTTTTTCTGCTAGTCCTACAGAGTCAGTACAGCTTTTGGAAAGTGATCTGGATTCTGTCTTGGCTCATACATCCACTTACTGAACTATAAGTTCCAGATGCAGATTATTTTTTTATCACTGGTATCTGTGCACAAGCCAGAGAAAACTCAGCTTGACTCTGAAATACTGGAACAGCACATGGAGCAGCATAGTCTCATTTTTAGACAGTCTCTTTTGAGAATATAAGGGCATTGTTGGATTAAAGTAGCGAGTTGAAAGAGTGCTGTTAAAATAGCAGAGAGACAGTGTCTGGAGTGGAGTCAGTTTTCCTGTAGCTCAAAGGGAGTGGGAAATGAACTTTTTAAGAATGTGGTAAATGACCCATCACTTCTAGAATAGCAGTGCTGCAATGTAGCACAACATGGGATGGGATGCTGTGTTCTGTGGCTATAGGCGAGTGGTTTTCAAACTCTGGGTCACACACCCAGTAGTGAGTCACAGAATGTAAGGCATTGGGTCACTCGGGGACTCTGGTGGCCACCTGAAGCTGGGTTGCAACCTGCACTTTGAAAACCACAGCTAGTCCCTGCCTGTTCTGACATCGAGCTGTGCCCCAGAAGTGGCCAGCAGCAGGTCCAGCTCCAGGGCCCTGTGTGTGGCCCCTTCCCTGAGTGTTAGTTCTGCACTCCCTTTGGTCAGTTTCCAGCCCGTGGGAGTTGGAAAGGGTGATGCCTGCTGGCAAGAGCTACACAGACTGCTTGCGCACCTCCACCTAGAAACCAGAACTGCTGCTGGACTCTTGCAGGGCATAGTGCAGTCCACATTGCTGGAACAGGCAAGAAACCTACCTCTACGCCACCACTGACTAGGAGCCATCAGATGTAAGCCTGTGACCTGAGCCCCTCCAAAACTAAAGTCCCCTCCTGTATCCAAACCCATTATGCCCTGTCCTGCCCCAGAGCCTGGACCTGCCCAGAGTCCTCTCCTTCACCCCAATACTCAAACCCTCTGCCCTAGCCCTTAGCCCCCCTCCTATGCCCCAAACCTCTCATCCCCAGCTCCATTGGATCATGGGCATCAACACTTTTCTTACTAGGTAGCTAGAAAAACATTTGAAAACCATTGTTATGGGCCATACTTGGAAATATGTAGTATAGGACATTATCATTAAAAGATAATCAGTGCACAGTTCAGGGCAACTGCATCTGTTTTTCCCCCTTTGTGGTCTACCAGGGGCCACTCTAGCCTCCTGATTCCTCAGACATTGCCTCTCTTGAGTGAAGACCTTTGTGATTCTCTGTCCTGACTGAGGTTTTTCCAGGCTGCAGAGTTCCTGGCCTATACTATGATATCCCCATTTAGCCAGACTGCCTAAACTGACCAGTGTGTGAGCTTTGCTTTCTATCTAGGGGCTATATAATCAGCATAATTGCCAACAGTTACAAGTTACCACACAGCCTTTTGAGGAAGCTTCTTAGTGGCAGCATTTCAGAGAAAAACATTAAAACCAATAAAAGAACACATGCCAAAAAGCTTACCAGAGGTCACCCCAGATTCAGCTTCGGGCTCTGGTGGGTAGGAATCAAACGTCAAGGTTCAGATAAGCAATCAAAAGACTTCTTTTGGGAATAAACATCTGATTGGTTTTGCAGCTTGTAAATAAAAGCTATCTAGGTTCATCTTTTAGGCTAAATGTCTAAAGGATCTTAATTCTTCGGTATTGGCAGTAATTGTACATATTATGCATCAGAAAAGACCCTAAAGGGACTGGGAATCAGTTGTTTTCAGTATTAGTCACTATTTCTTTGGAAACTTGACTTCACATGTAAAGTTCTGCAGTTTTAATGAGGTAAATGAGATCAGTATGTGGAGTCTTCTGATGTCCAGACTACTCTGGAAATAATGACCTGTGGGAGTTGGAAACGTTTATTCTTCCTTGGCTGCATAGGAAGTGGTGCAAAAACTTCAATTATGCATACAAGTTGCATCTTCCTTTCTGTGAACTGATTGGTGAACAATTTTGTTATGCAAAACCAAGGGGGTCTTTTCCTGGCTCTCTTGGTGGGTGTTCTTATTGCTTATTCGCCTCTCTGTTCCTTTGCATGCATTTAAACAAATCATGTCTGCAAAATCCTCTTTTCTCTATATTGTGGAAACTTTTCCTTTGTTCACTTTTACTGTTGTAATGGAAAATCCAGCTTTCTATTCCAAATACCCAGAAATTTTGGATATGTGGTAAAGATTTTCTGTTGGATGTATGGCTATGTTTCAGGTCCAAATTATTTGTCTTCAATGAAAGCCTAAGACTTCTTGCTCTATGATTTATAAATTCAGTTTAGTAGTAAAGTAACTAGTACCAGAGTTGAAGGCATTGATTAATTTATAGCTAATGGAATTATTTGCAAATTTTAAGTTCTCAATTAGGAATGCAATCAAGCTTTTTGCCTCACGAGAGGCACATGTATCAGACAGACAATCTTTCCTTCTTGTCAGATGGGGGAAATTGCAAAAAAGTTGCTAGTTCCTCAATTGCATGACCAGAAGGTACCATTGTAATTATAGTCTGAGTGCCGTATCCAATCTTGATTTAAAAATTGCCAGTGGTGGAGAATACACCATGACCCTGGGTAATTTTTTAAATTGGTAATTACCTTTCTCTCATCAAAAATTACACTTTTATTTCCAGTCTGAATTTCTCTAGCTTCATCTTCCAGCCATTGGGTCCTATTTTACATTGTATTGCTAGGTTGAAGAGCCCGTTATCAAATATTTGTTCCACACATAGATATGTATGGAATCAAGTCACCCCTTAACCTTCTTTGTTAAGCTGAATTGATTGGGCTCCTTGAGTCTGTCTCTATAAGGAATGCTTTTTAATCCTTTAATCCAGGAGTGGGGAACTTTTTTTGGGTCAGGGGCTACTGAACCACAGAAAAAACATTTGGGAGCCCCACACAAATGAGAGGGAGGGAACCCACAACCCTCACTGACCTTACCCCAAGAAAGGAGGGGGGGGGGAACCCTCACAGATGTGGTCCCCAACTGAGAGGCCGGGAAAAAAACCACTTGCCTCATGCTCCAGCCTGGGACAGGGGAGGATGGCACCAAGGCTCAGGGCTTACCCTCAGGGCTGGATTATCTCTTCTGGGAGGCTTGGTGATAATGTGGGGCTCTGTGCTTCAGTGAAGGGC